GGTCTATATCCATACTGTCACTGTTACAATTACAAGCAACTAGAGTCTTAGAGATGTACAGCACGGAAACTGACCCTTCAGTCCAACTCGTCCACACTGACCAGATATCCTAAAATAATCTAGTCCCATTTGCTAGCATTTGGCCCATATCCTTCTAAATGCTTTCTATTCATGTACCATCTAATGCCTTTTAAATGTTGTAATTGTATGAGCTTCCACCACTTCCTCTGGCAGTTCATTCCATACATGCACCATCTTCTGTGTGAAAACGTTGCCCCTTAGGGCCCTTTTAAATATTTCCCATCTCACCTTAAACCTATGCCCCCTAGTTTTGGATTCCCCTACCCTGAGAAAAAGACCTTGGCTGTTCACCCTATCCATGCCCCTCACGCTTTTATAAATTTCTGAGGTTGTTGACTTGTTCACCGAGCTGGCTTGTTTTTGTTCAGACAATTCATCATCATGCTAGGTAACATCATCAGTGAGGCCTCCGATGAAGCGATGTTATTCTATTCCACTTGGAATTTATACTGTCCGGTCCGTTATGGTGAGTAGTGTCATTTCCAGTTTTGTTCTTTATGGGTTTGTATATGGTGTCCAATTCTATATGTTTATTGATTGCATAATGGGTTGAGAACCGTGCCTCTAGGAATTCCCATGTGTGTCTATATAACATATCATAATGCAAAAACAAGGCCCACAATGCAGTAATTGAATTGAAAGCCTTGTCACAGTGGATCCCACTCGGCCTGAATTAGGAAGGTCTTAAATTTATGCAGCTCCTTTGGGTTTTTGTTATCACGTTCTAATTTTTGTTTGCTACATGACTGGACAATATTAAAATTGTCACTTTAACCACTGTTTCACGAGCACACTGGAAGCAGCAGCATTGGTCACTCCACTAGGCCTGGCGAACATTGAGAGAGCTGGTATTTGTGGCAAGAGGCATGCTCATGAAATGGTCCACACCTCCAGGGTCATTCCATCTTGCTCCTATCACAGTCCCTCAGCTACAGCATTATTTGGCCCAAGTATTTCACATTACCAAGCCCCTTCACTATTCTGCTGTGCCTATTTACACCTCTGCTGGGCCCATTCTTTTTGTTTCTTCCTTTATCCCATTACAACTCTTTTGCTACTTCATCTCTCCTATGCTCCCCTTTATCACAGACCTCTCTCTCTTTTGCTCTTTGCCTGTCCTTCCCCCCTCCACCCACCTTTCACAGTTCTGCAATTGCTTAAAAGCTGTTTGGTTTCTGATTTCTTCCCAATCTCGTGAAAAACATATTGGCCTGAAACTTTGATTCTCTTCCTCTCTGCCACCAGACCTTCTGAGTGCTTCCGTTTCCTGTTTCACTTTATGCTGTTTTTATTTTAATTGCCCATTTCTCTCCCCAAATAGGATTTCTGGTCATCAGTAAATGAATTGATGGCTTGCAGCCACTTGTGCGAATGATGCATACTGTGTGTTTACACCAAATGTGGTGCTGCTAATGCTATGTGAAACTGAGTTAAGCTGAAAGAGAGACACCACACCCTGCTCCCTACCATTCCAATTTCAAATTGAACGTACATAGACTTAACTTTCGGAACAGACTCCTGGTCTGCAGTTATTGAGATTGCTACAGTTGAACTAAATTTCCCTCAAGCTAGAGAGGGGAAAAAAAAGTGTTCCTGTTCCTGTTTACTGTACAGCCATTGCTGTTGGAAGTGTACAGTGAATGTTATAGCAGAATGTGGGAACTGGAGTAGACCATTTAGCTCCTTTAGCCAGTTGCACCAATGAAATCAAGCTCATATCTGGAAGTATCAAAAATAAACCTGCAGTTTAAAATAAACAATTTACCTATCAATTTCCATTTGTGGTCAAATGCTCAAAACTTCAACCAGTCTTCAAAATAAGTGTTTCCTAATTTCACACCGGGAAGATTTGACTAACTTTTAGACAGTGCTCCCTTGACCTCAATTTCTTAAACAGCAGAAGTGGGTTCTTTAGTTACGCAGTTCCCTTAAGATCTTGAAAATTTCAGTCCAGTTACTCCTTATCCCTCCAAATTCTGGACAGAGAAGAGTTTGTGTAATCTTCCCTTGTAATTTAACCCCTGGAGTCCATTTGTGTAATTCTGGTAAACTATGTTGCACTCCCTCCAAGGCAAATATTTCCTTTTGAGGATCTAGTGCTCAGATTGCTCTTAGTATTCTAGGTGTGCTCTAAACAGGACTTTGTACATTTAAGACTTGTACTCTGTTTTGAGTGGATATAAAGGCCAGCATTTATAAATACCTGGAAACCATGTCTCTTTAGACAACTAGATAATACCCTGTTACCACTTTCCAGCAAAAATGGATTTTTGCTGGCCATTACAGCTGAACTCCCAACTAACACTGATCAGGAACAGATAGACTGTTTAATCACTCAATACATTAGATGAGGAGCAGGTATGGCACTAACTTGACATCTTTGACTTAGCATCAGATGTCACAAGACATTCACAATTTGACAGAACTGGTTTCTCTACACAGCACTGGTGTGCACCATTGTATTAAAGGAACCTTGAAAGCTTGGATCGGTATTTGGCTAGTGGCAAGCAAGTAACGCTGATTGACCAAGTGTAGGGTGAAACCACAGGTCATATGGATGAACAAGGAATGAACACAGCAGTTTCAAACTTGATTGTTTCTGCTCATATCCACCTCTTGTACTGGTTCCTTACCCAGGGCTGACAGCTCTGCTTCACAGACACAGACAATGACACCAAAATGTAGGGGAGAAGTGTTAGTGCGAGAGAGTGGGGGACAGATGAGTTGGAAAGAGAGCCTGATGAATGAATCCTGACGGGGGTGGGGGCTGGGAAGACAGCTTGTACGTTGCAGAGATAGTAGGAACTGCAGATGCTGGAGAATCTGAGATAACAAGGTGTAGAGCTGGATGAACTCAGCAGGCCAAGCAGCATCAGAGGAGCAGGAAGGCTGACGTTTCGGGCCTAGACCCTTCTTTAGACATGGGGGAGGGGAAGGGGATTCTGAAATAAATAGGGAGAGAGGGGGAGGCGGATAGAAGATGGATAGAGGAGAAGATAGGTAGAGAGGAGACAGACAGGTCAAAGAAGCGAGGATGGAGCCAGTAAAGGGGAATGTAGGTGGGGAGTTAGGGAGGAGATAGGTCAGTCCAGGGAGGACGGACAGGTCAAGGGGGCAGGATGAGGTTTAGTAGGTAGGAGATGGGGCTGGGGTTTGAGGTGGGAGGAGGGGATAGGTGGGAGGAAGGACAGGTTAGTGAGGAGAGGGCAAGCTGGGCTGGTTTTGGGATGCGGTAGGGGGAGGGAGATTTTGAAGCTTGTGAAGTCCACATTGATACCATTGGGCTGCAGGGTTACCAAGCGGAATATGAGATGATGTTCCTGCAACCTTTGGGTGGCATCGTTGTGGCACTGCAGGAGGCCCAGGATGGACAAGTCATCTGAGGAATGGGAGGGGGAGTTGAAATGGTTCGCGACTGGGAGGTGCAGTTGTTTAGTGTGAACCGAGCATAGGTGTTCTGCAAAGTGGTCCCCAAGCCTCCGCTTGGGTTCCCCGCAGAGTGGGGGTGAGGAGAAGCACCGATTACATTGTGAAATGGCAAGTGCAGGAGGGTCTTCACTGAGTCTTCTATTCCAAAGGTTTATGGAAAGCTGGGTGGAAACACAGGAGTGCGTAAAATAACATTTTTACATTTAGTTTAAACATTCAGATTTTCATATTTATGATGCATATCTCGATCTATAATACACAAACTTGATTATTATATACCAAATATTCCAAATTATTTTTGTTTTTGCTGGTATCTGGGGTAATGCTATTTTTTAAACATCAAAAAGGGATCACATTGCAAAATAATTTGGAAGCAATGAGCTAAAGAATGGGAGGCAAAGATTAGCAATGAATAGATGATTCTCTTACACAATGACAGTATCCCCTGGACTCCTTAGGGGTCTGGATTAGGCACAATGCTTTTATAATATTTAATTTAAATATTAAGCAGGATAGTAGCAAGCTTTAGGAGGATATACACGTGCTGATGCAATGAACTACAACACAGGAGATGAAATTTTGTGTTAATTAAGTGTGGAGTAATGCATTGTAGGAAAAACGACAATGACAAGGCAGAATAATGATTCTACTTTGAAAGGAGAAAGTGCAAATGGATCTGGGGATGGATATTTGAAAATGCTTGAAGGTGGCGGGGCAGATTAGATCGGGGTACATGTTAAGAATGTTTCCACTCATGTGGGAGACTGGGACATGAACCAGTTCAAAAATAAGGTGTTTCCCATTTAAGATGGAAATGAAGAGAAATATTTTATCTGAAGGTTGAGTCTTTGAAACTGTCTTCCCCCAGAGTGACAGAAACATGGTCATTGAATACTTTGAAGGCAGAGGTAGATAGACACATGACTAACAAGGGAATCGAAGGTTATTAGCCGGAGTTGGGATGTGGAGTTGAGAGGTCACAATCAGATCAGCCATGATCATATTGAATGACAGACAGTCTGAATGGCTTATTCCTGCTCCAAATTCATATAACAATTCAGAAAGCGCATGGGATACTTGCATTGTAAAGAGAGACACTGAAATAAAAAAAGTCATTATAAACTTTTACAAATCAATGGTTCGGCCTTAGTCAAATGTCAAGGTTTTGGGAGAATACAAAGGAGCTTTACCACAGTTGAGGGAGTTTAGTTATGTGGAGAGATTGAAGAGGTTGGGATTGTCCTCCTTAGAACAGAGTTCCAACAAAAAGGTATTCAAAATAATCGCTGGAAGAACTAGAACAAAATGTGATACTGAAATATCATCTCAACCTTATGCTCAAACCTCTGGAGTGGGACTTAAACCCACAACTGTCTCAGTTAAAAGCAGAAGTGTTGCCAATCGAATCATGGTTAACACAACTTCTAATGCAGAGCCTGTGGGATTCCCTAGTATGAAGGAATTAAACAAAAAAATTGAGATCTTCAGAATCCAGTGAAAAAAGCAAGTTTTATTTATGTTCAATAATACCACAGAAAACAGGGCCAAAATAAAAAATAGGTCTTCAACAAATTAATATTTTTCACTGAAAAATACAATATACATAATGCAAGAACAGGTATTTTAAATTGTGGTGACTATATTTGGGAAAATGAAATATACTAGAAATGAAGACAACTGAAATAAAAGTGAACAGATAGAATATAAATACATGAAATGGCAGAAGACAAATGCAGATCAGATCATTGGAATGTTAAAGATCACCATGGTCTATGTGGCCAATCCCATAAGAATAAGAGAGGGAATAAGAAACAAAGGGAGAATATCAAAAATCTGATCCAAAGTATTTGTCTTATGCAAGCATTATCGATCCGCATCCTGGAATCTCTTCTTTCTCCCACAGTGCACCATGCAACTCAAATTCAACTAATTTCCCATCTAACCACTACATGCTCGCTCCGAGCAGGAAATATTTAACATTAGCCATCTCATTAATGTTCATATTCCGGTTTAAAATGAAAGCATATTTCTGTTTATTGAATTACAATGGAATGGAATCTGCAGCTTAGCAATTCAAGTATCAAATTAAAAACTAACTGAAGGAGTTGGTTTTCATCGAACAACTTCCCTTTATGCAGAAAGCAACCCTTTTCAGGTAGTTTTGGTGTTTACACAATTGGTAACAATTTAAGCCAAGTCTACTCCACTGGAATACTTCCATCAGGTTAACTATTAACGCTTGCTGTGGAAATTCTGGAAGCTAAAATGACTGTTGTTTCTGGTCTTGCTGTTTTGAATATTAAAATTATGCATGAAGACTGAAGGGTGCCAAGCAAGTTAGCAGTGCATTGCTATATTCCTGGCCGTCAGCTTCAATCTAGCAGCTCATTCGTGGGTTTGATTACATTCAAATGTGTCAAGACCATCTAAAGACTGCAGGTTATCATCTGGAGTAAAAATGCAGGGCTGGGGTGAAAGAGCAGGAGTCTGGGATCAATGGAATAGCTCTTTCAAAGAGCTAACACAAGAACAATGGGCCAAATGGCCCCATTTATACTGAATGATTTTATGAATAAACACAAGTGTTAATCCCTTGTCTCCCTCAGATGCTGATCCATTAGTCGTACACCTCCATCATTTTGGTTTTCATTTTATCATAGATTAGTTATAGTACAGAATATTCAATATTTTTCCTGTTGATAATAGTTTAAACTGCTTGATCAGGATTAAGACAACCTTTTCAGCAGAATTGCATGAGTAATTACAGTAAGTAGGTCCAACTTTGGGTCATAGATAGGCTCCTGTAATTGTTAGAAGCAACCAACTGAACCTGTGGGATTAACCTGGCTCCTGCAGTGGGCTCTGGACATTGTGGAGCCTGTATAAAATTTGCAGAACAGAAAATATTCTGAAGTTAACTGACTTATACAGCATTCAATATTGAAGCATCACCAGCAAATACAACATTATCAATCCAGTCCCTTTAAAATAAAGCTCTTTGAAATAAAATCTTAGGAATAGACCCATAAACAAAATCTAAGTACTAAGCTAGTTTCTATAAACTTGCACATAAATTATTTCATAAATATGTTTTTAATTACATTAAAATCTGTTCAACCAATTTATGAAATCCAGATATAACCTTCATTTTTTTTTAAACATCTCTCTCAACATGTTTCCGCTATATTACAATTACACAAGAAAATCATACAGTTACCAAAGCAATTATATGACTAATATACAGATGTCTTCTTTCCCTAGTTTGGGAAACAAAGACCTTTACACCTGGACCTGAACTACTCAAGTACAACGTGTATCCATTTGAAGAATGCCCTTTTTCCAGGTATAAAACTTCAGCTGGGCAAGTGGGGTTCAGGTGTAAACATGTTGGGGTGTCTAAATAAAATAGATTTGTTGGATCTGAGATAGTAGGAACTGCAGATGCTGGAGAATCTGAGATAACAAGGTGTAGAGCTGGATGAACACAGCAAGCCAAGCAGCATCAGAGGGGCAGGAAGACTGATGTTTCGGGCCTAGACCCTTCTTCAGAAAATGAGTTTGTTGGATCTGTACTGTTGAAATCAGTTAGCAAGCACTAACCTGCAGGAAATTAGATTTTAATTTGAAAAATTATTCTTGGAATGCTGGCAAGGCAACATTTGTTGCTCCTCATTGGCAGTTACCAGGAGGCAGTAGTTGGTGTGCTACTTGTTTGTACATGAGCTTGCTAGAATATGAGAGGGCACATAGAATCAATCGTCTACTGTGGTCTACAGTAATGTGTATTGTGGAACAGACAGAAGAGGCAAGAAGTATTACAACAATCTATCACTTGTTTCTGGCTTTTACCCTACAAATTACCAGTGTGAATGAAGTCAATGTCATAAATCTGTTGTATTGGGATTCGAACTTTCAATCCCTGGGTTTCTCATACTACTGTAACCACGGTCAGCCTGACAAACCCGATTCTCACTAGCAGTCACAAAGTGCAACATACAGCTCTGAAGGTGGTGTTTTGATTAAAGCCTGGAACTGATTGGTATTGCCATCAGAACGTATGCTTAGTGTCAGTCATAACTGAAAGCTGGATCCTTTGTATAACTCCGCAATTGATCTAACAATGGAAGATCGTGCAATTTGTAGGACAGGGAATGGATGGGAGTAAGAAATAGAGCACAGTTGGCAACAACAGCACCTCTCTACACTAACAGACTAATACCATCCTGAATTGTCATTAAAGAGGTAACACTTAGTTACTGGTTAAAATCTGACATACATAAAGTGAATGGTTAACGAGTGTGGTCAATTTAATTGTGTCCTGCTTCTTCATCTCCTGTCAATTACACCATGGTTTTATTTCATTCCAATATTAGAGTTTTGGCTCTTTACATGCTTCTTCAGTTTTAATGGGCAGTGAAATGATTTCAGAAAATAATTTGGAAATATCAGTAGAATAGCTGTGCATTACAAGATTACAAAATGAATGTTTTGCCAGGACAATTAAGAGTCAATGAAGAATGAGCTTCAGTGGGACAAATGTTTTTCTCTCATCCTTGAGAGCATTGATAATTGATAACTGTCCCATTGAGTTACTTACATTAAGGTTCAAGACAACTGGCAGTTCATCACAATTTGACAAGTTATTTACAATACCCTACTGCAATGGAAAAATCAATGGCTTTTAGATGACTGCTGCTGTGAAGAGTCCTAATGGATTACAATTTGAAAGAATGAAACATCAACTCTTCCTTAATAAAGAGGTAGCTACATTTAGCAACTGCAGCTGATCACTACAAAGCACAGTAAAATGACATTACTGCCTTATGGAACAAGTCTCACTTTCATTGATTACTTTCTAGTCAGATTGAGAAAGGTATCACACCACACCCAGGAGTGTCAGGAAAATGGCTTTACGGGCATACCTGTTCCTAGTTGGTCTGCAGCGCACACACCCCTGTGTGCAAACCACTGAGGGGCAACAATAGTCACCTTCTTAATACTTTCCTTTGAACTGCTATACATTCTGTTCTCTTCCAGAAACAAGGTGATCACCGGGTAACAAGAACCGTAACATCCTCTTGAACTGCCCAGCATGTCAGGTCAAGGAAGCTGAAAATGTACGAAATAACAAGGTGTAGAGCTGGATGAACACAGCAGGCCAAGCAGCATCAGAGGAGCAGGAAAGCTGACGTTTTGGGTCTGGACCCTTCTTCAGAAAAAAATACAGCTGAAAATGTATGGTTATCGTGGTGGTGGAGTGATTAAAAACCGTTACCAGAGTTTAAATTGGGGTAAGGGGACGGATTTCCTCAACAGTCAGAAACAGAATGAAATTGGCCATTGGAAGCGAAACAGTCTTTTGGTGCACAGTTGAACGATCTCTTGTAACTGCAGATAATTCTCCCTCCTTGAAGTCTTGTAAGTCCCGAGAGATACCAGCTTGTCTAGTTACTGAGGGGTGGATGATGCAGAGATGAATCATCAAAAAGTGGATTCTTGACCTCCATCTCCCCGGTCTGTGAGAAGAGAAAAAGAAAAGCTGAGAGTTGAGAGAGACAGTAGGAAGATTCAGAGGAAACGGGTGTGCTATGGAGACCTTCCTAGTGGCCATTCCCATTCAGAATCTTCTGCCTAACTGAAAAGGTTTAGTCTTCAGAAAGCAAGCAAAAGAGACTTGTGAATGGATTTGAATCTAACAGGAACTAACTGTTGATTCACAGGCCCTACTGCTTAGAGAAGACTACACGTTAATGAGACTGTAAAGATGTAATAATATAGCTAATATCTACTCTCTTTGCCTAGCTGTGAAATGTATTAACATAAGAAAAGCCTGGTGGAGTTCTCCCCTCATCACCCCCACCCCCACTGCATTGTCCTACCAGCATCTTATTCACAAGCAGCAGTAATAATAGCATCAGTGACTGAAACTGCAGTAAAACTTGTTCAATCTTCTTAATGACGCAATTCATTTACCCTTAAATTGTGAAAACCCATCAGAAACAGAATTAAGTCACATTTAACACTTCACAGAAACTGCTTCCCCACCCCCAATCCCTTTTCTGTAAATTCTCCCCTAGCATCTGAAAGGGTTATTGTGGAAGCTGCTCCACACAGTCCATTGCTCCCCTATAGGCAGTTTTGCAGGTGATAAGTCTACCAGTGCCAAAGCCATCACAGTGAGTCTGATCCAATCATGCCTGACAACTGTACGCCTGCGAGTCAGAGTCAGTAATGGATCAGTTAGCAGCAAGCTTGTTTTTGAATTGGGGGTTTAAGTCCCACTCTGACAAACACAAATATCCAGACAGATGCTAAATAGCAGAACCAAGGTGGGGGGTGTTGCTGTTCTTTTGGATGTGACATTAAAGTGAGACCCTTCTGTGCTTTCATCCAGATATATCCCATGGCAACAATACTAAGAAATGGAGAGTTCTCTATTGTCCAATCCAGTATTTATCCCTCAATCAACAACAAAAACATTTTCTTCACCATCACATTGATTATAGGACATGCACTGTACAACCAGATTATTGCAGTTTTGTGCATTATAACAGGGACCATGCTTCAAAACAATATTCATTGTTTACAAAGGAATTGAAGCAATGTCAGATCATGAAGCCACAATATCATTACAAGCTTTTTTCTTTCAGTCAGGGTGACGAGGCAATGATAAGAACTTAGCCTGAATATAGCACCTCATCATAGTCTCAGGATGCTAAATAGCATTTACAAAATTAATTAGTGTTGTTCTGATGGCAAATATGATAAGCCGGCTGATGCCAAACAAGACCCCACAAACAGCAAACGAACAGTCAGAAAATATATTCAGTCAGGTGGGTGAAATGTTGGCCAGGTAAAAAGGAGCACTCCCTATTTTTATTCAAATGGTGTAATGGATCTTTTATACTGGCCAGAAAAGGTCATACTTGTGAAGTATTAATAGCTTTATGCCATCAAAGTGTGTAGGATAAATAAACTTACTTGTTGCTAGCAAAATAACACCCAAATTCTTCCTCATTTCCACATGCTGATACAGTGAAAGTTTAAGATTAATTATTCTGTTGTATGGATAGAGTGACAGAATACCATAAGATCCTTTGAAATAGGTTACTTATATACATTTATCTAAAGTCAGAAAAATTAGGGCTTTCCTTGCATTGTGTGTCTCCCTAGTGACATGTAGGTTCAGGTTTTGTAGTAATATTCTCATTCCTAGTACTTACTGGAGCTAGTCCTGGACATTCATAGACCGTGAAATCTCCATCTTCATTCTCTCCCTCAGATTCTGTTGCTGATTCAGGTACTTTGGATTCATCCTTACTTCTATTTTGTTAAAAACAAGAGAAAAGGCAATTATATTATCCTTCTTTGTAATGTCGATCATCAACTGCCCCCTCTCCAACCACTCCCACACTCTCCCCCACAACGTACAGCTCTTGTACATCAGTTGTGTGCTGATATACAGCCGCTGTACAGCCATCAAGATTCAAAGTAAACAGACCAATTAGCACAGTCTAGTTAACATACTAAAGGGAAAAGAAGGTCCACTTTACACACTCCCTCCTGCCCACTGGCTTTAGCTGCTATCATGACTCTGTCCATGTTTCCAACCCTATCCAGGTGACGTTTCAATAAGATGTACATCTTGATTTATACTCAAGCAATTTGCTCTGTTTGAGCTGAATGAGATGACTGGAAAATTCCATATTGCACCCCGGTTTCTAACCAAAAGCAGTTTTCTGACCAAAGCTACTTTACAATTGGCATAGCATTAAGCCACATGATTGCTTACTTTAACCACAGCTTTGTACATATGAGAAAGATGATCAGTATGTAATTTAATGGATCTGAATACTCACTTCTCCATCGATAGCATCTGCTGCTTCTGATGTTGGTAGTGGTACATCTGGGCACTCTGTGCCAGCTTCTTGTCACCACTCTGTTCAAGCAAGGGCACATTTTTTTTAAAATTGAGAATGTGCATAAAATGTTTTCAATACCTTTACGTGGTTATCAAACTAAACATTTATGTTACAATTTGCAAAAGACTACAGTAATAGAATCTCACAGCATAGGACTATCATGCCTGTGAAGATACTTTGAAAGAGCTTTTAATTAGCCCCACTCCTCTGCAGACTGAAAATCTTTCTTTATTAAGTTTATGTCTAATTCCCCTTGTAAGTTGCTATTAATTTGTTCCCATGACTCTTGCATTCCAGTGCATTCCACTGTGTAAATAAAATTCACACGGCCTCTTAGAGTCGCATGATGAGGTGCCTCTAATCGATTTCCTTTTGGAATGTGGCGACATTATTTTGTTGCCATCTGGTGTAACAGAAACCCATGTGGATAGGTCAGTGCATGTGAAGCGGATGACAAGGTTATGCTAAGGATCATGGGTTCAGAAAGTACACACAAAGCCCCAAATCAGTTCAGTTTTGGATGGCAACCTATCATAACTCTGAAGCGAGGAGTTTACTCTAAAGATTTCAGCAGCTAATAATATGGTCATTCATAATCAGTTACTTTTCCTAATTTATCTTAATTGGATGTTACAGGTAGCAGGTGAAGGAATACTTGTTTAAAATGGTCTTCCTTTTGGTTGAGATTCGAGGAAAAACAACTTGAATTTCAATTGACAACGCAGTGTGGAGCTGAAGGAATTCAGCAGGCCAGGTAGCAGAGGAGCAGGAAAGTTGATGTTTCGGGTCAGGACCCTTCTTCAGAAATAGGGATGGGGAAGGGAGCTGGGAAATATTCTATTGCATTTCATCGAAAATCTCACTTCAGAAAACTAATTACTTCTAAGGACAGCCGCAATGATGTAGGAAAACATGGCAGGAGCTTTGCACACAGCAGGGTCCCAGAAACAAGAATCTGTTCAACCTGATGTTGGCTAATGGACATACATTCATCATATTGCTTGGAGGTATCCTTGCTCTGCAAAAAAAGGGCTTTGGGATCTTTAGCATTCATGTGGACCCTGAAATAGGCAAATGGAGCTCAGGTTGATCCCTCACCTGAGGATGATTCTTCCAATAATTCAGTACACCCTCAGTATTATCCTAGTCAGCCTACATAGAAACATAGAAGATAGGAGCAGGAGGAAGCCATTCAGTCCTTCGAGCTGATTGTCTAACTCAATAGCCTAATCCTGTTTTCTCCCCATAACCTTTGATCCCATTCGCTCCAAGTGCTATATCTAGTCGTATCTTGAATACATTCAATGTTTTGGCATAACTACTTCCTGTGGCAATGAATTCCACAGGCACATCACTCTTTGGGCGAAGAAATGTCTCTTCCTCTCCATCCTAAATCATCTACCCCGGAGCCTCATACTGTGACCCCGGTTCTAGACACACCCACCATCGGGAACATCCTCCCTGCATCCACCCTGTCCGGTCCTGTTAGAATATTATAAGTCTCAACGAGATCCCCCCTCATTCGTCTGAACTCTAGCGAAAACAATCCCAACCTAGTCAATGTCTCCTCATACGTTACACCTGCCATCCCCGGAATCAGCCTGGTAAACCTGCACTGTACTCCCTCAACAGCAACAGCATTCTTCCTCAGAAAAGGAGATCAAAACTGCACACAATATCCAGGTGTGGTCTCACCAAGGCACTGTACAACTGCAACAACACATCCCTGCTCCTGTACTCGAAACCTCTCACAAGCTCATGGTTAGATTTGAATGCCAAACTTACAAATGTCTTGACAGCTGAGTCAAGCTGACATATATGTACCTTCACATAAAGCTCCCATAACTTATATTTTAAAGCCAACATGTTGTCTTCTACAGCTGGTCAGATATTGTAAGAATGGAAAGGAGGCTAAGTATGTAGGTTGCTAAGGTTTGGAAAGCAGATAGGACCATAACCAAACAAAAGCAAGGTTTCTATCTTCCCCATTGTTGAAACTGTGTCTCAGCATGAAAACCAATTAATTTACAAATAACACTCAGGGCTTGGACTAAATTTTCAGACCACAATCTGAGCACAGATTATATATAATTTAAGTACCACCTGCTTCTGAACTTACCAAGGGTTTCTCAGGTTGAACATTAGATCCAATTATACCATAGCCTGGATAGTCCGCTTTCTGAGTTAATCTCACCTCTTTCTGTAATCTAGAATTATTTTAAAAAAAATCAAGTAAAAGCATAGGTTACAGAGAGCTACTTAGAGGCCATTTTATTTGACTTAATCATGTTAATAGTGCAAGGGATCCATGTCTGTCTGACTGTAATCCAAGCAAAATCTGAAAAGTGCATTAGCATGGGCATGACAATTCAGAAAGCGGTCAAGAATCATATTTTGGAAATGTGTGTGAAAAATGGCAATCATGTGGATGCCTGGCATCAGAATGCCTATGTTCCAGTAGAGGCACATATTTTCAGAAGGGACGAGAACATAACTGGAAAGGTGGAAACATTTGGTTTTCAACTGTTTGTTATACATAACTGGCAAGAAAAATATTTGTAAATATACAATCCCCAGCTCCAGCATAGTTAGACTTCATGAAGCATGCTTGTACAATTCTAATTAAATTTATTGAGGTCAAAATCTGCAGAGATTTTCTCTTCCATGCACCCTGCCAAACTCCCCTCATGTGCTTTCTACATCTGTCCTACACCCAGAGATCAAACACTATCAAATGCTTCAACTGGCTTCTAGTAGATGAGGGTTGTCTGAGGTGACATACATATGTATGGATCTACCTAAAAGAGTTTGCTCTCAGCTCAACATTTGCCCATGGTGCTTTCGCTGCCAGTATCTGCATTCTATCACTCTATGGTTCGCAGATAGTGACTCCAGTTCCTCTATTTAATGCATTTGCAAAATGATGTCTGACACTTGCTCAATTTTGAGCAAAGCAAAAAGCTTGAGTGGGTTTTCAGAAACTTGTAAACTATAAATGAGACACTGCTGATGTACAGCTCTCTAATGTGGAGGCACTAGCCCAAGGATAAACATGAGCAAGGCCCATGAGGTCCATAAAGTCCTATAGTTCACTCACTCCATCCATCAAGCAATCTACTTGTTACCAAAGAAATTCAGGGCATTTGCCGCAAACACCCAATTCAGAAGTCTATTCAATGCAGTAACCATTCTTAGCTTAAAGAATTTTCTTAAACCTGCCCTAAATTTGCCTTTCACTAATATCACCATTTACCTCTTTATTGTACCATGACGGTGCATGAAGTAGTCCAAATTTAATTTATTTCTTAACTTAAGATCAATTCTCAGTTGTACCCATTTGAGACTCGAACAGGTCATATTGTCGAGGCTTGAACAGGTCATATTGTCCAGTCTTTCAAAATTTAGTCTTTATAAATCTTCAAATGATGACCGAAATACCATTTCACAGCTCAGTTTTGGATTAGTGAGGGGAACAATGCATTCTTACTCTAGAATCATAAAATTCCATTCTATTATTTCTGAACTTCCAATTTGCTTCATGCTCCCCGATTAGTAACTTCAGTTTTACCTGTACCAGCAGATGCCAGCAACGATCAGTCCAGAGACCCCCGCCACTGTGCATACAATGATCAAAGCTGAGGAATAAAGAATTACAATTGTCAGTAACTTTCAAAACATCTCCACTTGACAGACCTTTTCTACATTCCATACAATCTAAATACGTAAAACTATTGCTTTACCAAATCTAGTTTGACTAATCACTTAACACAGACCCGCTCATCCATTCAAGGAGTACTAAGTGGGCAGTTATATAGCAGATGAGAATCTAAAAAGGTAACATTCTCCATGGATAAGAATTCAATCTGCGACCACACAACATTTTCATAGCAAGCCACCCATTTTCTGTGAAGCACCAATATAAAATTAGCGACCATTGTATTTTACATGCTGAGTGTTCCATACAAGTTCCAGAAAAAAATGAATACTCAAGTCTTCCATGTGTGAATTGTACTGTGTAAAATAGATACAGCTCCATTTTTGGTAGATTGGGAACAAAATTGGCATCATCTCAATCAACATACACCAAAAGTCAGTCAAAAAAGTACTCACCGGCAGCAAATGCAACACATGAAATAATGGCCATAACTGATTACATACGGAGAGATGCAATTCACATGTAAATACAGAACTGAGGTGTTATGCATCAGCATAAATGTTAGTTTAATAATTTTAAAGAGAGAAAGCTGCTCTTTGGAACTAGCTGTAAACGATTCAATTTTCACTCTTTTACTGTAAGCATAAGTTCATGAGGAAATATTTGAAGTAAATTTCATGGCTGCTACCAGACTAAATCTTCCAGAAATCTAAATACCAAAATTAAACAGAACATCAAGGCTGGGCTTGTAATTGCTTACTGAAAACAACTTTTTTGTTCAACAAAGTGTAGAGGTCTGAAGAAATACAGCAATGGCACAACAGCACTTCTGATCATACTTTTAAAAAAAAAAATCATTCTTTTTAAAATCACTGAGACACAAGATGGAAGTTATCAGAAGGTTTACGTGGACTTCACTAAAGCCTTTGACAATGTCCCTCATGGCAGACATGTACAAAGGTGAAGTTACATGGTATCAGGGGGAGCTGGAAAGATGGATGCAGAACTGGCTTTGTCATAGGAGACAGAGGGTAGCAATGGAAGGATGCTTTTTGGAATGGAGGGCTGTGACTAATGTCATTCCACAGGGATCAGTGCTGAGACCTCGCTGATTGTGATCTACATAAATGATTTGGAGGAAAAGGTGGCTAGTCTAATTAGTAAGGTCGCCAACTAAACAAAGTTTGGTGGGGGTTGCGGATAGTGAGGAAGATTGTCAGAGGATATAGCTGGATATAGATCAGTTGGAGGCATGGACATAAAAATGACAGATGGAGTTTAAGCTGGACAAATGTGAGGTGATGCATTTTGGAAAGTCAAGTACAGTTGGAAATTATACAGTGAATGGCAAAACCCATAGGAGCATTGATATGCAGAGAGATCTGAGTGTGCAGGTCCACAGATCACTGAAGCTAGCAGTGGAGGTAGATAAGGTCATGAAAAAGGCCTGTGGCAAGCTTGGAAGGGGCATTGAGTACAGGTAGTTCTGCTATAACGTGTGTTTCATTAATGCAAATTGGCTGTAATACAATTGATGAATACTGTACGCTGTTAGGATAATGCAAACTTTCTGCTGTACAGGTATAGCGATTTTCTATAGCGTGCGGTCACACAATAATGCAACTATCACATTAAAAGAAGAACTACCTGTGTAAGGATAGACAATTTATGCTGCAGCTTTATAGAACTTTAGTTAGGCCACACTTGGAATACTGCCTATTGTTCTGGTCACCACACGACCAAAAGGATGTGGATGCCATGGAAGGGGTACAGAAAAGGTTTACTAGGATGTTGCCTGGTATTGGGGGATATAAGTTATGAAGAAAGATTGGATGGGTTGGGTTTGTTTTTACTGGAATGCAGGAGGTTGAGGGTGACCTGATAGACGTTTATGAGGTTGTGAATGGCATTGATAGAGTGGAAAGTAGGCTTTTTCTCAGGATGGAGGGTCAACTACTAGGGGACACAGGTTCAACATGCGAGGGGACAAGTTTAAAAAGATGCGTGAGGAGCGTTTTTCACACAAAGGGTGGTGAGTACCTGGAATGCGCTACCAGAGGTGTTGTTGGAAGCAGACACAATAGCAGCATTCAATGAGCACTTGGACGAATACATGAATAGGAAGGGAATAGAGGGATACAGATCCTGCAAATGAAGACAGTTTTAGTATGGAAGGGCAAAACATGTCGGTAAAGGCTTGGAGGACCGAAGGGCCTGTTCCTGGGCTGTATTGTTCTTTGTATGCGTAAAAATATGTTCCGTATGTCCGAAGCTTGGGTAGAAACTTGTAGTTCTGACTTTGGAACATTGGTAATCAGACCTGAATAATGCACTCAATCCCTGCTAGCCTGCCACAAATGAGGGTAAAATCTTTTCTTTTCAAAAATAAATAACAGGACTGTTTTTATTTGTTGCCTGACATGCTCACTTAACAGTTCGATGCTACTTCACATTTAATAGCCTGTGATTAACAGAAAAATGAGATAAATGGGGACTGTCATGTTAAACTGTGGATGTGTGATCACCAGATTGGTACTTCTGTGTTAATGAAACTGTCTACACCATGACAAGTTGAAAATTTATATAGTCTTGAGGCTGTGTCAATTGGTTTCAGGTTTTGAGGCATCTGAAATCTGAAGCCTATTTTTACATTAATCCAAGTGCCACTGAGGGATTCAAGCAAAACTGCGTCTTTTTTGATTTTCTTTATCATCATGTATTAGTGGCTTTGAGATTCACAGAAGGGTTAATAGGAGGGAAAGCCGAGGAGGCACCGAGTTCACATCTCTAATAAATGTTGTTAAGGTTTCACGGGTGTCAAGAAATATCTAAATTGCCTGAACATCACAATTAAGCTAATCCTTAAAAATAGTACGAGTTAACATTAGTAGAACAGTACCATGCACAATGTAGCAATGTACTGCTCTGATTAGAATTACTTCTGCTTATAAGAGAAATAGTATTGACTGTTGCTGCCAACAGCAGCATGGATTGTGAAATATCATTTTACATTAACTGAGACACAAAAATTAATGACTGGCTTTGATAGACTAGACAAGGAAAATGTTCTCCCCCAAGTGGGGAGGTCAAATCAGTGAGGGGTGGGAGATGGAAGACACAGGTGATTGGTAAGGGATTAAAAGGAACTTGAGGAAAAGCTTTTTATTAGCCAGAGGGTAGTGTGTGTATGAAGTTCACATTCCAGGATGGTGGGTTTAAAAAGGAACCTGGATCTGCTCCTGATGCGCAGTAATCTGCAAGGCTATGAATCAGGTGCTGCAAAGTAGGAATAGAATGAACAGCCAGTTTATTCAGCTGGCACAGACACAATGGGCAAGGTGGCCTCTCTCTGTCCTGTAACTTTAGTGTGGTTCCAAGGTTATTTAGCTTCAGCTAACACAATAACAAATATTACACTTGGTAATGTCACCACGTGTGTGCATCTGTCCTTACTCGCTGCAAGACTGTCTGGTGCAGCCCTGGAAAGGCTCCTAAAATGATGTTCGCCCCAAACCAGTTAACTCGCCTCTTAGGAAGGGTACTGGGCAGTCAGATCCTCTGCTCAGTCAGGACAATCTGAATGAGGAATACTGACTGACTACATATGCCTTCTTTTGCTGAGGATTCATCAGCAATTCCCCAAACATTTCCTGGACTGATTCAGCTATGGCTTGTATGGCTCTAGAGGATTGTATTTTTTGGGGAATGTTTATATTCTCTGGGCTTTTGATCAATCATGCTATAAACTTAAAGCACTTAAAAAATGTTTTTTTGAAATGCAACGCATACTTACTGAGTAGGATGGCATCGGTGAAAGGAACATCTCTCTTTGGAATACTCTTTACTGCTGCCACTTTACCAGGAGCATTTGGGGGCGTGCTTGCTGTAGTAGATAACATTTCTTTATTGGATGGAATGTCTGCACGACCTCCTTGCAATTCATCTTCTAATTTAGCAGGTTTATTCTTGCCAGCTGTTAATGTACAGTAATGATTACAAGTTGCTACTTGATAAAAGATCCATCTCAATATTGTTAAAACAAAGTGTAAATAAGATGTGCCAGTGCAATGAAGGTCTGACCCCACTGAATTGCAGGGTTGTGGGAGATAGGACTACTGCTTGCAGTCCCATCTCTGCTGTGGTGTTGCAGTTCAGCACAGTTAAGTCAGTCCTTGGGTTTTACCACATGGAAGATCAGTTCTAACCTACTCTCAGGCACCTCCTTCTCTCCAGCTGCTGGAAATCTGTTCTCCTGACTTACACTGGGTCACCATTTACAGAATGAAGATGACATTTATTATTTAATGCAAATACAGTGTTTTAATAACGTTGCATTGTGCAACTGGCCATTGCTGAGACCTTCTGATTTCTGTCTCTCCCCCTTTAAAGGAACAATAAATTATCTTGATGCACTCGTCTTGCTGAAATATGCATCCTTATCCAATGACTGTCAGCAACTTACAAGAGTATCGAATCAAATCCTTACACATCACCCTCCAGACATGCGCTTTACCAAAGGAGGTGCTGATTTTTCATCAGCTTTTCTGGTTTTGGAACAAAGGTCAGTGTGAACTCATCACATTTTTGTTTTTAAAATACTGATTAGTTGTGAAAAGAGAGCAATGTAGTGATTCAATTTATTGCTTTGCTCCTTTTCTTCTTTCTTTTCTGCTGCTGTGGTGTTTTCTGCAGGCATTAATAGCTTCCCAATTCAACCTCCTGTACTTTGCAGCTTCTGCCTCAGTGCCAAAATCCAAATGAAATTACCAAAAAGTTCATCAGTTTCTGAGTCTCTTCCACTCTAGCACCTAATCAACTATATTTCCCCAGCCTGTTCCACAGTTTCAGACACTATCAACATAAGCTTTCCCTATAGTCCTAAACTGTGACCATTCCTTTCAAAAGCATTTTGTTACATCTACGCATTTAATTTTATAACCAAGTATAATCAGTTATAAAATTTATAACATACAAGTGTTCAACCTCATATCTATCACAGAATTATAGAACATAAATAAAAATAATTCAACATAAGTCTGTCCCATCAATCTTACTGCCTTACACTGTCTCGTAGCCCTGCAAGTTTCACCTTCAAATATTTATCCAGTTCCTTTTTGGAGTTCACTATGGAATCTGCCTCCACTATCTTTTCAGACAGATCATACATCATTATTATAACAACTTTCATTGTCTCTATTGCTCAGGGCAGCAGGAGAGGAGTGATAATGTCACTAGGTTAGTAGACCAGAATGCTAGATTAATCTCAAGGGACAAGGGTTCAAATCCCACAACGGCAGATTGTGAAATGTGAATTTAATAAAAATCTGGAATAAAAAGCGAGCAAAATGGCAACCATGTAACCACTACTGATTGCGGTCTGGTTTCCATTTAGTTCACTGATGTCCTTTAAGGTCTACATGTGATTCCAGCAATGTCGTTTAAGCTGAACTGCCCTCTCATCAATTAAGGATGGGCAATAATGCTGCCCTAGTGCCCGATTCCCACATCCTATGAACAAATTGCCAACTATCTTAAATCTGTTCCCTCTGGTCAATGATCTTCCTGGAAATACTTTCTTTTTACACACTTTATTAGAAGTAAACTAAATAGTTTTGAAGAACTCCCATAACGTCCCTGCTCCAAGGACAGCATCGAAGCTTTTCTAATTTTCTACATATAAATAAAGCATCCTATTCCTGGTACCATGAAATAAAATGTACATTTTGAAGGTGAAAAATATTCCTAAACATATGCACAGTTGGGAATCAAGCCAGAGAAGGAAGCATCATCGGAATAGCAAACTCAGGAGGTTGTTTTTGAAGCTGGGGAGGAGAGAAAATTGGAAACTGACAGTGTAATGATGCTGGTTCCATTATTGTGGGAAAACACACCATAGTTCCAGAGGACCATAGGGTTGCTCTCCTATTACAGAAAGACAATTGGTGGTGAGTTTGATGTGAAGGTCACCAATCCTCAGGCAAGGTCGACATTAAGAAGGCAAGACCTCAGCCAGAGCAGAAAGTTAACCCGCGCTGTCGCCATAACTTTGCATCACAAACAGGCTGTCCAGCCAACTGAGCTTTTTGACTAGTGGGAAGACAAGAAGGAACGAAAAAAATGCACTGTAAACCAAAGATGGTGGATTGGAAGTTGCTGGACAAAATTCTGGTGTGGTGAAATGAAAGTATTAGAGGATATATAGGTAAAATGATAACTCTGATGTAATTAAATACAGAACAAAGTAGTCCACAAGACCAAAGGAAATAGGTAAGCAGGGCTTTACGCTAGCAATCAAAAATTCTGAATAAGCTAGTCAGTGTATGGCAGGTAGCGAAACCTTCATTCATTCTTGTACTGCTCTCACTGTTGACAGTCGCGTGTCAATAGACAACAGCAGGCAGTTCTGCACACCCAGTCCCAGCTCATGTAGCACTGCAATTATCACAGCAATAGATCAAAGTGGGCTATTTTACAGCAGGTAATGGTAAGGATTGACCAACAGATAGGATCTGCCTGCAGCAGTGCCTTTAAACAGAGGATCAAAACCCTGCAGGGGCCTTAAACAAAAGGATACAAAGGGTTTCAAAGCAACTATTTCACATTTAGAGTTTGATCTGAAGCCTTCTGTAACTCTGTGTACAGTGTACTTACTCTCTGATGCTGCCGCCAGTTGTCGTGTATGTGGCACATCCTCTTTTTTGGCCAAGAGTGATGCTATGTAATCAATATCACCATTGATATCTGAAGGTCTATGATGCATCCCTAAGGGAGAGAGAGAAAACAAATCTGAATACCCCAAATTTTGCAGTGTTTGAGATGAGAATGAGAGAACAGAAAAATCAGTCTGCTATTAGGTGCTGATTACCTTATGGGTGAACAGGCTCCAATCTACTTAAAATACAGCTAACCAATTAATCTTTAACATTCAGTTTAAGCTCATTTGAGCAGTTAATTCAAACTAAGATAAAAATACCTTTAGGGTCTAACTTCAATAAATAAATTAATTACTAACATTTTTTTCTTGGGACTCCATGATTGAATCCCTCAATCAGGTTTTTTTCACAGCCACAGTATTGAAACAGCATTCAAAGTTACAAATGACAATCCATGTGACTAAGAAAACAGACTTGTCCGCACCTTCTAGACCAGCCTTCCGCCTTTGACATAGTTAACCACACAATTCTCCTTCAATACCCTTCTATTGTCTAGCTGAGTAGGATGTAATGCATGTGCCTGGTTTCATTATCTACACAGCTGTAGCCAGCACTGGCTTCCAGCTCCCAATCCATTACATTGTGTCCCCAAAGAACCATGGTTCTCTTTGGTTTCTTGTCTACATTTTGTTCTTCAGTGATTTCAGTTTCCACATGTATACCGGCTACACACAAATCTACCTCACCACTACCTCTCTCTACCCCTTGCTTGTCTAACATTAAATACCGTTCGATAAACAGAAATTACCTATTAACTAAATATTGGGAAAAACAAAGCTATTGTCTTTGGCCCTTACTAAAAACTTAATTCTTTAGCCCCCAGTTCCATTCATACAAACAGGAATTAGGGGCAGAAACAGCCCAATCAGGTCCTGGATCCAGGCCTGCCATTCAGTAAGATTATGGTCAATCTATCTATTTTGAATTTTGCATTCCCATCTAACCTAGTTTTAAACACACCCCATCAATCCACCTGCACCACCTTCTGTGGCAGTGTTCCTAAGCCACACAACCCTGAGAGAGAAAAACATTCTCATCATACCTCTTCAGAACGATATCATCTTCTGGGAATGCAAAGATTTATAGCATAGGACACTCAGCCCATCATTTCTGTGGCGGACAAAGAACACTACCAGCTTCTGGTCCTTTGTCCTATGCATTACTGCATCTCCAGCGCACATTCTGGTTATTTTTAAATGTGATGAGAGTTTTTGCCTCTACTGACCTTTCAGGTACAGAGTTACAGACCTCCATTATCTCTGGGTGAAAAGATTACCTCCTCCTAATCCTTTCAACGATCATTTTCAATCTATCCCTCTCCCTGGAAACTGACTGAGGATAAATCAGACTGTTTGAAAACTTGGGTATTCTTCCAATGGCTCTATAGAGCATTGTAGAATGTTTTACTACCATTAGGGTGCTATATAAGTACAAGTTCTCTTTGTTGAACACAATTGCTCTTATATATGGGGATACACTAACTTTAACTGCATTAATCTATAATAAGAAATTCACTTGCAAAGCTCAGATCCCAGGATCCTCCATTCAGGTCATGCATTTCCAATGTCACCATTTACTGTGTCTGCAAGATTTATTTGACTGGAGCTGGAAACAATCCCAAATCAAACCTGCTGCAAACAGCAAAGAGTTTTGCCAAATCCAGCAAAGAATTGCCGAGGTTGTTATCTGGAGATCAGTATGTCAGAATAGGGTGGCATATTCATTACAAAAAGCTGCACTTCTTCAACAGTCAACCATGTTTGACTACAGACATATGGATATTGAGTGAATAGAAATTCATTTTCAGTTCCCAACGCCTTTGCAAATGAAGTACAGCTCACAAATCAAAACTGGGCCTTGAGGCTGTATGATCACTAGACCAACACAGGTTATTGCGTTAGATTCTAGTTTGTACAGCATCATTAATTTTTCACCACTTTCCCCCTGTACTTGCAGTCACACGCTGCATCACCTTCCTATTTATTTTAAATAGGGGACATGGGCATCATCAATTGGGCCAGCATTTGTTGCCCATCTGTAGTAGCCCTTGAGAAGATGGTAGTGAGCTGTCTTCTCGAACCGACGCAGTCCAAGCACTGTGGGTAGATCCACAAAGCTGAATCTGTATCATCCTTATTCCCAATTTTTACAATGGGCAGTAAATATCAGAATTGATATAGGTACAAGCTAAAACCTGTCCTCACTGTGTGCCTGACCACAAATCCACTTTCTAACAGCATTCAGCAGCAGAGTTCCTTAGTACTCCAGTGGCATTGGGGTCAATTATGGTACTCCTAAATGTATCAGTAAACTCAGCACAGGTTAGGGAATAAGACTTGGAACTGCTGAAATGCTGTCTTCTCAACTCATCAGAAAGAAATTGAATGCTGGCATTGACTGAAGACTACAGTAAGTGTTTCGGTATGGTCAGAATTTCAGAAACGAGGAAGAAAAAACAGATTTGAAGACAGCGCTTAGTTTTGTATTGCATGGACAAATTTAAATGAAGAAAGTTGGATGCATCAATGACTATCCCCAAGACTAGTGCGATATACATCTAAATGGTTTTGCATCTGGAAAATTAGCTCAAATATTAAACTAAAAATGTTTTATTTCATGAAATAATTCAGGTTGCAATCTGTAAGTGAACACAGCTGATTGAAGACAGTGCCACTGATAGCATCATGGGAACCAAAGAAACTGTGTAAACAGAGCCGTATTCACCTTGAATGGATCATAGAGAAAAAGAGAGAGTGAAGCACAAGTCAAACAACAAGATTAAGAGAACTGCACATCAACCATGAAATTGGGGATAATAAAAGACTTGGTTTGTTATCTTGTTAAATAAGACTGTCAACAGCACATACCACAAGGGCCTGAAACCCCCAACAACTATAGGCTAACTGTGTGTGGTTGCAAGTGGAGGATGTAGGGATCCTAGTAATCACCATGCCACTCTCCCTCTAGACAAAAGCAAACAGGTCCTGCTTTGAGCAGGAGGGCTTAACCAGGACTGCAGGAGATGGTACAGATGTAAATCAGCAGCTTGCAGTGTCAAATTGCAAACACTCCATGGGTCTGAAAGAAGACAGATGGGATTGATGAGAAATTGACTGCTCCATAATAGCAGTCAACAGCTCCCTGTTGCTCACAATGAGCAGCACCTTTTACTGCAACATCCCTTACAATTTGTTTCAGGACAGGACAAGCCCACTGGTGCCTGGGCTGGAGCAGCAACCTAACGGGTTTAGATTGATTTAATTATTTGGAAAATGCACAACTTGAGATAATGTCTGTACTTTCAGAGACAGAAGTTGTCTGAACATACTTTGTTCACCAAAACACTAAACTGCATACAATTCAGTTTTCTTATCTGGTCTTTATCAGTGAATCGACTGTCTGGTAAGCACGCAATGTCTTTTTACATTAGGACCCGGTGCCGGCTTCAAGGGCTAAAAGGTACAATCTGGAATGGAGGTACTACTGCATGTAATATCATTACGTTACAGCACTACTGCTGCAGGTAGTCTAGCCTCTGGAGGCAATGCTACAAATGCAACAGAAAGATGGCATTGCTAGCACCTCCAGAGACATTCTGACCCACCAGATGTATGCTTTCGCATGAGCTAACAAAAAAGAAAACCACTCGCAAGGTACATTTTCCCACTACCATAATACTGTGTCCTGTATCCCTAAAAGGTATATTCTGGCCCTCTCCTCTAACTAATCCACATGCTGCCTTTTGGCAATTTCATCCAAAAACACAGATGACTTCATCTGAAAATAAGAAACACACAACTCTACCTTAACACAACATCCCGACCCTCAATTATAAAAGGTGGCGGTGCTGGACGTCTTAAAACACAAAAAGGTGGATTATTCCCCGGGACCTGATCAGGTGTACCCTAGAACTCGGAGGGAGGCTGGAGAAGTGATTGCAGGCCTCTTGCTGAGATGTGTATCATTGATAACCACTGGTGAGGTGCCAGCAGACAGCAGGTTGGCTAACGTGCTGCCAGTATTTAAGAATGGTGGTAAGAAAGAGCCAGGGTCTAGAAACCGGTGAGCCTGACATTGGTAGTAGGCAAGTTGCTGGAGGGAATCCTGACGGACAGGATTTACAAGTATTTGGAAAGGCAAGGACTGATTAGGGATAGTCAACATGGCTTTGTGTGGCAAATTGTGTCTCACTAACTTGACTGAAGAAGTAATGAAGAGGATTGATAAAAGCAGAGCAGTGGACGTGATCTATATGCATTTCAGTAAGGCGCTCGTCAAGGTTCCTCATAAGGTATGGTAAACTGGTTAGCAAGTTTAATCACTTGGAATCAAGGGGGAAATAGCCATACGGTTACAGAACTGGCTCGAAGGTAGCAGACAAGAGGGTGGTGGTGGTGAAGGGTTGCTTTTCAGACTGGAGGTCTGTGATTAGCAGTGTGCCACAAGGATCGGTGCTGGATCCATTGCTTTTCGTTATTTATATAAATGATTTGGATGTGAACATAGGAAGTATGGTTAGTAAGTTTGCAGATGACACCAAAATGGGAGTTGTAATGGACAGCAAAGGTGGTTACCTCAGAGTACAACGGCAATGGGCTGAGAAGTGGCAGATGGAGTTTAATTTAGGTAAATGTGAGGTGCTGCATTTTGGCAAGGCAAATCAGGGCAGGAGTTAAGCACTTAATGATAAGGTCCTGGGGAGTGTTGCTGAGCAAAGAGACCTTGGTGTGCAATTCATAGTTCCTTGAGAGTGGAGTCACAGGTAGATAGGATGGTCAAGGTGGCATTTGGTATGCTTGCCTTTATTGATCAGTGCATTGAGTATAGGAGTTGGGATGAGACAAAAAGTCCGCAAATGCTGGAATCCAAGGTGGACAAAACAGGAGGCTGGAAGAATACAGCAAGCCAGGTAGCATCTGGAGGAAAGAAGCAGTCAACATTTTTCATGAAGAAGGGTTATGCCGGAAACGTTGACTGTTCCTTTCCTCCAGATGCTGTCTTCAATGTTCTTCCAGCTGCTGTTTGTCTACATAGGAGTTGGGAAGTCAC